TCCCCCCCCCCCCCCCCATTTTGTAATTAGCTCATAGAGATCTTTTAAATGCACTTCATCAGCTTGCTTCTGCCCTTCGTATTCCTACCTTGCCCAGTTGCAACTGCAGTGGTTTGTCGTCTGTTTGTTCTTTAGGGTGCTAATTCTTCTGAATCAGCTGCCAGTTCCAAGTCTCCTGTTGTGCAGGTTCCTCTGTAAGGGAGTTTTAAAGTTGGAGCGTCACGAATGGCTTCCCTTCTGGGAAGTGCAGGCTGTTCCCCGGGGGCTAGTTGAAAAAGACATGAAATCCTTCTGACACAACGGCTCCATTTAGATGACCTCATTGCCTTGCCTTTAAAACATAATTGGCGGGGGATGTGCCTCACACTTGCAGCGTGGCCCCCCCCCGTTCCGTGGCTTGCCGTGTCTGAATCGGAGCTGCCACGAACTGTAGCTTGCAAATATTCTTCAGTCCGTGGCTTGCAGGCAGCCCTTGCTTCTAGTGCTAACCAGTGTTGCCTCTAATTTCGACCTAAGAAGGAAAAGAGGAATCAGTGCACAAGAGGGAATGGGGCAAGTGAAGCACATTGGCCTGATCGCCAAACCTTGAGAGACGCCGCACTGGGCTGAAGAAGTTTCCCATCTTTGCTGTTTGTACAGGCGTATAGAGATAGCAAAACTGGGGGCAAAATGAGTATAATTAATTCACTCAAACACTTAAATATGTACGCTAATACAATCACTTTTATACTTGATAATGGTATCTAAGTATACAAAATATCAACAAGGTATACAACCTAACCATACAATATCTCAATGTTATACACATTTCATAATATACTAACTTTACAATAAACTCAAACAGAACACTAGTTGCTGCCAACAGCCAAAGAATTTGTAGAACTTCAGTACATTAGTTGCTGTTAACAGCCAAAGGTACAAAGCAGCCGGCTTTTGCTTGGTTTCGTATCATAACTTCATCAGAAGCAAGTCAACTTGTATTGTGTAAGAGAGTTTTCCTTGTATTGTAATGTTACTTCCTGGTTTCTAAAGATATTTCTTCACGAGAGTGGCTACATTTAGTATCGGCACTTGCCCTTATTTCCTTAAAGGATTTCTCATATAGGACCTGTCTTTGACAGACTGAGCTTCGAAGCTGGAAAAGTCTCATGGTCCAAAGCGGCTTACAATAATAGTTAAAAACATTTTCAGTTAAAGCCAAAAACAAAACAGCCAACCCCAAATCTCTCCCCCTCTTACAAAGGTGCCTACCATTCAGACCCCCTCCAAAGTCCTTTTTTTTTCTCTTTAGCCCCCCGTAGGGGATTTTTTAATTGCATTTTCTATAAACTACAACAAAAATTAGGGAGGGGATCTACAAACTATAGGAGAAAGTAAAGAAAACCCACTAAAATCCCAAGAGATGGTGGTCATACATAACTGCTTAACAAGTTAGCTTATAACTCAACATTCGATTCAAGTTCATTGAATGTGGTCATCTAATATTCCATTTAAACTAAAGATTTAAACACCAGCGTATCTGACGTCTTAAAGAGCAATAAAAGAGATTGCAAGAGATTTCAGAGTGCAGTAACATCTCCTCTTTTATACTTTTTCTTAAATGGTAGCTTGTCTTTGGGGCTGCCGCCCCCAGTTTAGAGTCTGAGTCCTCGTTTGCAGATGCCATTGTTCCCTCTTCTTCACTTTCTTTGGTGCTGCCGTCTTCTTCCTCCTCTTCTTCTCCTCCTGCTGGATGACTATGTTGATGCAGAAATTCAAAGTCAATTTTAGACCCCCTCCAAAGTCCCAACAGACAGGCAGGCCTTGCAACTCCTTCCGAAGATCTCCCAGGGTAGAGGGCTGTCCCACTCACGAAGGGAGAATCCACCAGAAACCGCCGATCGCTGTCCTCAGTTACCAGGTGAATGTCTATGCTTTGGGTTCGCTGCCATGATGAATCAGTAGAATACGGACGTTGCCCAGGCAGGAATTGTACATTAGCCACAAAGCAGATCTGCTTATATACAGGGTGGTTTCTGGGAACAGATCCGCAACGCAGGACTCCAGAAAGACAAAAGAGAAACCTGGCTGAGGCGGATCAGTTTAGAGAGTAGTCTCAGTTTTCTTTCACCGATTAGCCGCTAGGCTGGATGCTCTCTCTCTCTCACACACACAAACACACACAGGATTTGACCCACACCAACCTGTTCTCTCCTAAGGGTCAGACTAAATGGCCACAGGTCTGCTTCTTGACAGAGACGACAGGCCTAACTACTGGGTACTCTCTTCTCTGTCAGCTGTAGAGCCAAGCCACTCTGCCACACTACTGAACTGAGCTGCCCTTCAGTATGCCAGTTTGGTGTAGTGGTTAAGAGCGCGGACTCTAATCTGGGAGAACCGGGTTTGATTCCCCACTCCTCCACCTGCAGCTGCTGGATGACCTTAGGCAAGCCATCGTTCTGGTAAGAGCTGTCCTTGAAAAAGAACAGCTTCTGTCAGAGCTCTCTTAGCCCCACGAACCTCACAGGGCGTCCGTTGTGGGGAGGAGAAGGGAAAGGAGTTTGTAAGCCGCTCTGAGACTCCGAGTGAAGGGTGGGGTATAAATCCAATCTCCTCGTCGTCGTCCTCCTCCCCCTTCGGCTTGTAAGAACTGATTAGTGTTTTTTTTTATTGGATTGTACTTTTTGCCTTTGACTATCTTCTGAACCTGCAGAGTGGCCCAGTTGAGTCTGAAAGCTTGCAGCATTTAAATAGCTGGCTGGAACTTCTGCAAGGCCATTCAGTGTATTTTTATGCGTTGCTGCTCCTCGGGCCTCACGAAGCACCAACGCAACGTCTGTCTTCTGAAAGCCGGGGACATTCGAAATGCGCCCGTTGAACTCGACAGGGGGAAACGGGTTGGGGGTTCACAGCAATCAAAAGCTTCTAGTGCTTTTTCGGATGGCGTGTCAGCTTGAAATGGATTCCAGTTGCTGCTTTAGTGAATCGTAGCATAGGATGCAGCTTCTGAACGTGGCAGGCCTGATCATGCTGGGGCTATCACGTCAGGACAAAGGTTGGACCCAGTGGGTACTAAGACTTAATTAAATATACTTTGGGGATCTCATTTTTTGGGGAAAAACTTTTAGAAGGAATTACACTCTCCCTCCACCTTTCACAGTTCATATGACAGATTTGCACCAACTTTAAGGATAATCTGCTGTCAGAGGAGGTAGTGATGGCCCCAGGACTATAACAGCTTTGGAAGTGGATTAGATATATTCATGGGGGATAAGTTTGTCAGTGGCTATTAGCCATGGTGACTGAGGGGAACCTCCACATTCAGAGGCACTAATCCTGTGGATCCCAGAGCCAGGAGGCAATGACATGGAAAGGCCTTGGCCTCTCTGCCCCGTTGTTGGCCCTCCAGAGGAACTGGCTGGCCACTGTGTGAGACAGGAGGCTGGACTAGATGGACTGATCCAGCAGGGCTCTTCTGATGTTCTTATGAAGGCCCTTGGGTCTATGCCCTGTTGTTGGCTGTCCAGAGGAACTGGTTGGCCACTGTGTGAGGCAGGATGCTGGGTTAGATGGACCACTGGTCTGATCCAGCAGGGCTCTTCTGACTTCTTATCAGGGAAAGGCCTCGGCCTCTCTGCCCTGTTGTTGGCTGTCCAGAGGAACTGGTTGGCCACTGTGTCAGGCTGGATGCTTAACTAGATGGAGCATTGGTCTGATCCAGCAGGACTCTTCTTATGTTCTTAATTGAAGCACAGACTCTGCATACACCCGCATTATTTCTGCACAGTGTGTTTCTAGTTCTGTAAGAGGGACCCATCATAAGAAGTGCCTAATCTCACGTCACAGTGCACCTTGCTTTTTCCTGTATGGTTTGGCTGAGTGGAGGATGGCTTGCACAAAGGGATGGAAGTGCTCGGCTATTGAGTTTTCTACTTCCTAGCACATGCACAGCTGGAACTGCCTTATACGGAGTCAGACCAAAGTCAGTATTGTCTACTCTGACTGGCAGCAGCACTCCAGGATCTCAAGCAGAATTCTTTTCCTGTCTCATTTGCTTCCTGTCCTGTATTTTTAAGCTAGACATGCTGGGGATTGAACCTGGGACCTTCTGCCTACACACCAGGCGTTCTGCCAGTGAGCAGCAGCCCCTCCCCAAACGTCCATTGTCCTGTGATCTGTATGAAGCTTTGAGTAGATGTTGCATTTCAGAATATATCTTGTTGTAACATGAAAGGGTGTTGTTTTTTTTTAAAGAGAACTCTTCATGACAGATAAAAGCCACTCATTCTTCATCTGCCCTTTTTTCAGTACTTGGAACCGATTCTGACCGGGTAGTTGAGAGCATGCCTACAAGGATAATATGCCGAAGAGTTGCAGGACGGTCATGCAGCGTGGCTGCGTTTTGTACGACAACCAAGGTGCCGGACAAGAGGTTATTCTTTGGCAAAGCAGAAGAGGACCAGAGCTTCAAAAAGGCGGAGAAGAGTTCCAAACCCGTCGTCACGCTCAGGCTATGGAGACCTTCAGGATACAGAGTCTCTTTTCGTCCATCAGCCTACACTGGCGCCAAGTGTGTACCTGATGAGGACGCATCTCGTGGCTTGGACGGTGGATCGCCTGAAAGTGATCACACTAGCATTGGTGCCAAGCAGATCCAGAACGCCTACAGCATTACGTGCTCACGGAGGCTTTCTAGCACAAAGAACAGGCCGCTGGGTTTGGAAAGCAGCAAGCGTCTCTCGATCCAAGCTAACTCGGCACAGCCAAGAAAACCGGATCTTGCGGAAGACGGTGGGGAAGCGGCCGATCTGGAGGCTCACGATCCGAAGGAAGATCCCAGGGCGTTTCAGAAGCAAAGGAACGAATACCAAGTGCTGAGTTACGATAGACACAAGCTCCCTCAGCCTCTTTCTGAAGAGGAAGGTAGCCTGATCCTGCAGGACGTCGCCGTGTCCAAAAGCAGCCTGAAACCACACGCCATTGCAGGGCATTTCTTTAGGCTGAGCGGCTTGCCAGTAGACCAGCACGGAAGCCTGAAATCCAACCCCAGGTTTGCCATATTGTGCCACTATGCAGTTGAAAGCATCCGGCTCTTTGACCTTCCTGAGCTGCTTATGGTTTTGAAAGCCTTTGTTCACTTAGCCATTCCACCGAACCACTCCATGTTGAAGGTTTACGAATCAGAATGCTGCCGTCGGGCCTGGGACATGGGCCTAGATCGCCTCCTGCTGGTGGCCGACCTGTGGCGCTGCTTGGGGCGCAGCGTCCCTCGGTATCTGGAGATCGCACTAAGCTACGTTAATCTGCACTGGCAAGAACTCACCTTGCCCCAGCTAGTTCAGTTAATCTATATCATCGGCGAGGGCCGCAGAGCCCCAGAGGATTTCATGAAGAAACTCGACTCCTTGGTCTTGAAGCACTTGAACGCTTTGAGCCTAGAGGAAGTGGGCACCGTTTGCTTAGGGTTCTTCAAGTCCAGCCACGGTCTTTCGGAACACACTATGCGGAAAATCGGAGATAAAGTCTCTGCCCAGATGGCAGAGATGAGCGATTATGCCTTGGTGAATGTGCTGAAGATGTACCGTTACACTCACGTCGATCATCTTGAATTTCTGAAGCAGCTTGGGACTGTCGTTCCTCCACGGATCCCCGCCATAGGCACTCAAGGAGTCATGCACATCACCCTTGCTTGTTCAGCTTTGCATTACCGTAACGAAAGGATTCTGGACGCAGTCGCCTCTTCGGTCCCTTCCAGGGCAGCGTATTGCCGAAGCAAAGATGTCGCCAAGTTCTTGTGGTCATTTGGATGCCTGAACTACGAGCCGCCTAATGTAGAGGAATTTTACACCTGCCTTGAGAAGCAGTTGCGCACAAAGTTGCATGAGTTTCAGAAATTCCCCGTGCATTTGCTCACCTCCTTGCTCGCACTGGCGTTTGCAAAGCGGTTCCCGAAAGACCTGATAGATTGCGCTCTGAGTCCCAAGTTTCTCAAACTAATCGGGGATGGTAAGCTTGACCTCAAGAAGGATTTGTTCACCCTTGACGGCACGGTGGAGATTGAATGCCCTGATTACACAGGCAGCCGCCTTGCGCTGCAGCTGAAGCAGGAGGTGACGGAGGTGTTATGGAATTCTGCCAAGAAGGACATCTGCACAAAGCCAGAAGTCAAAGAAGCACTCTCTCTTCTTGAAGACATGTTGGGCGGTCCCCGGTACATCAAACATCACATGGTCTTGCCTCACACCAGATCGGCTGATTTGGAGCTTCGGTTAGACCCAGAGCGGAAGCCATTGCCTTTCCATACAGAAGCTGCAGCAGTAAAATTAGAATTAAAAGAGGATGGAATATCTCTCACGGATGACTTAATGCATCAGCTGTTGAAGGGGAGGTCTCCGAACCCGTCCCCAGTGGGTAGCATTGGAAGCAAGGATGGACCGTGTCTCCAGAAGAGACCGGTACAGGAGGAAGAGTCTCTGTCCACTTGGGATCACTTTGCATTTTCTGACGGTGTTCCTCTTACTGGCACCATCTTGAAGGCGTTGACCAAATCAAAAACTTCTTACGAAGTCCCGGACTCTAAGCTGAAAGAGCAGCATCTTGAGGGCACGAAATTAGCCATTCAGGTGTCCAATAGGAACCAGTATAGCTATCACTCAAAACACCTCCTGGGGCTCCACCATTTGAAACGAAGACAGCTCCGTCAGATCGGATACACAGTGGTAGAACTGCCCTTCTGGGAATGGTTTCCCTTGCTCCGGCGTAGCCGGTCAGAAAAACTGAGCTATTTGCACCATAAAATATTTGATTCTGTACTGTAAGGTTGTCATGGTTTGAGAACCCAAATGGTACAAGCGAAGTGTCTGATTCCTGGGTTGGTGGGAGATGTAGTTGACTCTCTCTGAATAGCTTCTTTGTTCGCTTAAAAACATCGTTTTACTGAGTCAGTCGTTCAGCATCCGTAGAGGTTATAACATGCCCGGGGCATTTGAATGAATCTTACAGTGATTGTCTTATAAGTAAAGTCAACATTAGAAGAGACCTTTTATTTGCTGGTACTCTCAGCGTTTAATTATTCTTTATTGCCGAAGATATGAACGATTCAGTCAAGCTTTTACATGAAGGGCAACCGATCCCAGTAAGGTAGAGGAGAAAGAAAAGAAAGCCCGTTATGGAACCCCAAAAGATTACATTTAAAACAAAGGGAGCTTTGACCCTTGATAGTTTGTACCCACCCCCCAAAAAAAGTCTTGTTGGTCTCAATGGTGCTGCTGGACGTAATGACAGCCTGGGTTACACAGAACAATTAAGACTGTACAGCAGTTAATATTCAACAGACTGTAAGTACAGTTAAGAGGAATGGGATGATTAATGATATTGCAGTATGTTTAAAAACGCAATAAAATTATCTGAAAAGTCTGTAATTTCAGTCTAACTATCGATGATACTAGTGCACTATGACTAGTGCACAGGTGACTGTCTTTCTCTTTCTGGAATCCTCATTTGTAAAATGGGAGAAGAATTTGGCTGTGTAGCAGCACAGTTGCAGGAGATGAGCAGCCGAGCATGGAGTGTTATAGTGCAGTTTAAACAATATTGTGTTGTTTGCATTGGTATCACAACACCCAAGATACAGCTCCTTACACTGGAAGTGTGCGGGGTCCAGCTCGTCTTGCCTAAACCATGTGGTCCTTGTGAAATTTTATCTACATCCTTATACCACTGTGTGACATCCTTGCTTATTGGGGAGACTGTTTCTCCTTTAAAAACACTCTGTGTACATGAACTTAGTAGATTTCTGCTGCCACCAGGAATTAAAATTCCAAATCTCTCTATTTTGGTAGAATGACCCAGTGTCTGAGCGCTTCAGAGGACTATGTGGCCCTGAGGAAGGACTGTTCTGATTGGTGGGATAAGTTTAAACAAATAATGATTTATTTATAAAAGAACAAAATAGGTTTCTGGGTATTTTTGAACTGTTGTTGAAGAAAGAAAATATAACTGACAAAGCTTGGCATCACCCACAGTCCCCATACACTAAACTCATGACAGGCTTATCTCTCCCTCCCTCATATATAGCCACACAGGCTGAACTTTCTTGCTCATATAGCCACACAGGCTGAACTAAGCTCCAGCGGCTTCCTCTGTCACACAGACTCTCACAAAAACTCTCCACACTCGTCTCTTCCAGAACACAGAATCACCTCATAGACATCTCTCCTCCCACACAGTCATCAGCCAGTCACATCACACTTATCTCCCTCTATCACTCTCCTTACATTACTGCAGTCAACTAAACGTTTAAAGAAACACACACACCAAAACATGGAATCATTACGCACTGTATTAGGTTCAGGTGGGTCGCCGTGTTGGTCTGAAGCTGCAGAACAAAATTTGTGTCCAGCAGCACCTTTAAGACCAACAAAGTTTTCTTCTGGGTGTGAGCTTTCGTGTGCATGCACACTTCATCAGATATTTCGTCACATCAAAGTAGTGCGCATGCACACGAAGGCTTATACCAAGAACTGTGCATGCACACAAAAGCTTATGCCCCGAATAGAACCTTGTTGGTCCTGAAGGTGCCGCTGGACTCACACTTTGTTCTACCGCGGTATTAGACTAACCATCTTTCAAATGGCTTTTTTGGATTAATACTATTCCTTGTTTGGGAACCGAGTGCTGCTCCAAAGCTGGACTGTGAGCTTATGATGATGATGATGATTTATTAGATTTATTTCCTGCCCTCCCCACGCACGGGCTCAGGGCAGCTCACAGTTAGCGGCACCATATACCAGGTACCAAGTCACTTAAAAACACATAAAAACAAACTAAAAACAATCAAACATTACATAGTTAAAGTGCTTGCAGTGATGGACATTCCTTCAATAAATTAGAGATGGCGGTACTGGTACTGGAAGGTGTAATACTAGAGTCCCGATTCGGCAGTGGCGAATGTTTAACTGAGATAGTTCTCACTGGCACATAACCTCTGAAGACTTAATGGTACTTAAGTCTTTGGAATACAATGCTTCTGTCAATTCCCCCTTCAGAGACCCTTCCCCCAGTGCTGCCAGTGCTCTTCCTGGGAGTCTCTTGGCTTTCAGGAACAAAATTTTAGGGGTTTTTGTAGGTAGCAGCTGAAAGGTGAAAGTGGAATATCCTCCTCAAAGTCCCCAGGTGGCTGGATGCACCCCACTGTGTTCTGGTCCTGGATTATGTTTGTAAATAGCTACTCTCCTTTGGCCAGTATAGTTTTCCAAGGTTGGTTTTCTAAAACTGTAAGACTGTCTTGTTCTTCAGGGCTGTTGCTGCACCATAAAAGTTTATTTGGGAAAGGTACACATCTGCTCTGGAGACAGTATCGCTGGACAGGTTAGCAAAGTGCTTCTTGTGGGATAGAACCTTGCGGGCTTGCTCATGAAGCTGAAGGGATCCATTGCAACATAGATGTGGCTGTTACGGATGTCAGAAGAGCCCTGCTGGATTAGACCAGTGTTCCAGCTAGTCCAGCCTCCTGTCTCACACAGTGGCCAACCAGTTCCTCTGCAGGGCTAACAACAGGACACAGAGGCCTCGGCCTTCCCCTGATAGGAATATCAGAAGAGCCCTGCTGGATCCGACCAGTAGTCCATCTAGTCCAGCATCCTGTCTCACACAGTGCCCAACCAGTTCCTCTGGAGGGCCAACAACAGGGCAGTGAGGCCGAGGCCTTTCCCTGATAGGAACATCAGATGAGCCCTGCTGGATCAGACTAGTGAGGGTCCATCCAGTCCAGCATCCCGTCTCACATAGGGGCCAGCCAGTTCCTCTGGAGGGCCAACAACAGGGCAGGGAGGTCGAGGCCTTCTTCTGATAAGAACCTAAGACGAGCCCTGCTGGATCAGACCAGTGAGGGTCCATCTAGTCCAGCATCCCGTCTCACACAGTGGCCAACCAGTTCCTCTGAACAGCCAACAACAGGACACCGAGGCCGAGGCCTTCCCCTTGATGTTGCCTCCTGGCTTTCAGAGGTTTACTGCCTCTGAAGATGGAGATTCCCTTTAGTTCCCATGGCTAGTAACCTGTGATAGACCCATCCTCTGTGAAACTGTCTTATGCCCTTTTAAAGCTGGGTGTGTCCGTGGCCATCACTACATCCTCAGGCAGTGATTTTCCGCGTTTTAATCATTTATTGTGTAAAGATATAATTCCTTTTGTCAGTCCCAAACCTACTGCCCGTCACCTTCATTGGATGCCCTTGAGTTCTAGCATTTTGGGAGAGGGAGAAAAATTTCTCTCCGTCAGCTCTGTCCGCCCCATGCATAATTTTCTAAACCTCTGTCATGTCCCCGTCGTCCCCCCCCCCGTTGCCTCTTTTGCAAATGGGAAACCTCTTTTGTAAAGGGGAAAGTCCCAGACTCCAACCCTCTGATCATCTCGGTGGCCCTCCTCTGTACTCTTTCCAGCTCTGCAATGTCCTTTTTGAGATAACGGTGACCAGAACTGCACTCGGTATTCAAAATGAGGCCGCACCAGAGACCCATACAGGGGTATTGCAATATTGTTCTTTTTATTTTCGATTCCTTTCCTGATAATCCCCAACGTACAGTTTCCCTTTTCCACACTTGCAGCACACTTGGGTTGACATGTTCATTGAGCCTCACTTTACGCTTACCAACACTAAGCTTCCTTTGCCTCGTCGTCGCCCACTCACCCGGGTTTGTGGCAGTCCTCTTGGAGCGCTTCACAGTCAGCCTTGGTTTTCACCCTCCTGAATAATGTTGTGTCATCAGCCAACTTGTCCACTATACTACTCACCCCTGATTCCAGATCATTTATGAGTAAATTAAATAGTACCGGCCCCAATACCAATCCTTGTGGGACCCTGCTGCTTACTCCCCTTCGTTGGGAGAACTACCCCTTTCTTCCTTGCATAATTTTCTAAACCTCTGTCATGTCCCCGTCGTCCCCCCCCCAGTTGCCTCTTTTGTAAATGGGAAAGTCCCAGACTCCAACCCTCTGATCATCTCGGTGGCCCTCCTCTGTACTCTTTCCAGCTCTGCAATGTCCTTTTTGAGATAACGGTGACCAGAACTGCACTCGGTATTCAAAATGAGGCCGCACCAGAGACCCATACAGGGGTATTGCAATATTGTTCTTTTTATTTTCGATTCCTTTCCTGATAATCCCCAACGTACAGTTTCCCTTTTCCACAATTGCAGCACACTTGGCTTGACATGTTCATCGAGCCTCACTTTATGCTTACCAACACTAAGCATCCTTTGCCTCGTTGTCGCCCACTCACCCAGTTTTGTGGAGGCCCTCTTGGAGTGCTTCACAGTCAGCCTTGGTTTTCACCCTCCTGAATAATGTTGTGTCTTCAGCCAACGTCCACTATACTACTCACCCCTGATTCCAGATCATTTATGAGTAAATTAAATAGTACCGGCCCCAATACCAATCCTTGTGGGACCCTGCTGCTTACTCCCCTTCTTTGGGAGAACTACCCCTTTCTTCCGACTCCTCTTACCCCATGACTGTCAAGTTGTGGGACCCTGCTGCTTACTCCCCTTCGTTGGGAGAACTACCCCTTTCTTCCTACTCCTTGCTTCTTGTCATTTAACCAGTATGTAATACATAAGAGAACCAGTCCTCTTACCCCATGACTGTCAGGTTTACTCAGGAGTCTCTGGTAAGAACATAAGAGAAGCCAATGTTGGACCAGGCCAATGGCCCGTCCGGTCCAACTCTCTGTCACACAGTGGCCAAAAATACCAGGATTCCATCAGGAGGTCCATCAGTAGGGCCAGGACACTAGAAGCCCTCCCACTGTTGCCCCCCCCCAAGCACCAAGTACAGAGCATCCCTTGCCCCAGACCGAGAGTTCCTATTTACACCTTGTGGCTAATAGCCACTAATGGACTTCTGCTCCATATGTTTATCCATAAGGACATAAGAGAAGCCCATGTTGGATCAGGCCAATGGCCCATCCAGTCCACAGTGGCCAAAAATACCAGGTGCCATCAGGAGGTCCAGCAGTGGGGCCAGGATACTAGGAGCCCTCCCACTGTTGCCCCCCGCAAACACCAAGAATACAGAGCATCACTTGCCCCAGACTGAGAGTTCCTACCTTGCTTGCTTTCTCTGCTCCCCCCCCCCCCCCTCAAGCTCCCCAAGGGACAGGAACACTGTCTGGGGAAGGGAAGACCGATTGAGGAGGCATGCCACCCCTTCACTTCCCCAGCCCCCCTGCCAGAAGCCGCACAATATGTGTCAAAGAGCCACATGCAGCTCCCGAGACACAATTTGGCCACCCCTGGACTGGAGTAACTCTGCTTAGGATTGCACTGTGATTCATTTAGAAGAAGAAGAGATTGGATTTATACCCCGCCCTTCACTTGGAGTCTCAGAGCGGCTTACAAACTCCTTTCCCTTCCCCTCCCCACAACAGACACCCTGTGAGGTGGGTGGGGCTGAGAGAACTCTGACACAAACTGCTCTTTTTCAAGCACAGCTGTGCCACAGCTTGTGACTGACCCAAGGTCACATCAGCAGGTGCAAGTGGAGGAGTGGGGAATCAAACCCAGTTCTCCCAGATTAGAGTCCACACACTTAACCACTACCCCAAACTAGCTCTATTTACACCCTGCCTTTCTCCCCTGTGGGGACCCAAAGCAGTTTACATCATCATCCTCTTCTCCATTTTATCCTTGCAACAACCCTGTGAGATTGGTGAGGCCAAAAATGTGTAACTGGCCCAAGGTCACCGCGGAAGCTTCTAAGGCATGGATAGGGATTTGAAGCCAGGACTCCCAGATACTAAGTCTGAACCTCTTAACCGCTACACCACACCGACTCTCTGTTTTGGGCAGATTTGTCTGGGGAAAGCGTGAAGTACATCCCTGTCTCAGGGCTAGCATAGGGCGGTAGGTTCAGGCACCCGATGAGGCTGGGCTGATCTAGTGACTGGTGGCAGCGGAGGATGTACAGCACAAGAGCATCGCATCCTCAGCGGCCTCTTCCAGGACCTTCTTTCTTCAGGAACTGCGATAACTGCAGGGGTTTCCATTTTGCTGGTCGGAGGAATGCGGGAGGGAGATGAGCCCTGACTCTTTTGCTTACATTTTTAGACCCTGATGGTAGGCCTGAAAGGAAGTGCAGGAGAGTTGTGCTTGGCTTCCATCAGTAGAAGAACAGTTAGAGCAGGGGTGTCAAACATGCAGCCCGGGGGGCCAAATCAGGCCCCTGGAGGGCTTCCATCAGGCCCGCAGTGGAACTGGCCGTCTCCTGCTTCCAGTTCTGCTGCTGCTGCTGCTGCTGCATCATCGCTTGCTTCGCCAGACTCTCTTAACCACTCAGCCATTTCATGTTTTAACCTGGCTCCTAGACTCAGAACTCCGAGCATGAGATTTCTGTGGTGAATCTCAATAAATCAAAAATAGGTTCGCAGCCTACAGAGCTAGTGTTTTAAGCATGTTTTTATTTTAAGTAAAAAAACCACCTTTGTGTTTGTGTCCTTTATAAAGCTTATTATCACCGCTAACTGGCATTACATTTTATGACACACCTGGCCCAAGCCGACAACGTCTCAATTATGTCAGGTCCAGCCCTCATAACACATGAGTTCGACACCCCTGAGTTAGAGGGTCAAGGACATCCTGTTCCCAAGGAACCATGAAAACCAGCAACTGCCTCTGCTTTCTTGGGGAGGGGCCGTGGCTCAGTGGGAGAGGGTCTGTTTGACGTGCAGAAGGTCCCAAATTCAACCACTGGCATCTCCAGCTGGAAGGGTCAGGTGGCAGGTGGTGTGAAAGACTTCTGCCTAGCAGTGCCATCCTGCAGGTGCGGTCTGGAGAGCTCCCGGAATTACAGCTTCTCTCCAGACTACAGAGATTAGTTCCCTTGGAGAAAATTGATGCTTTGGAGGGTGGGCTCTGTGGCATCATGTCTCACTGAGGTCCCTGTCCTCCCCAGGCTCCACACCCAAATCTCCAGGCGTTTCCCAACCTGAAGAAGACAACCTAGAGATTGGATTTATGCCCCGCCCTTCACTACCCAAAGGAGTCTCAAAGCGGCTTACAATTCCTTTCCCTTCCCCTCCCCACCACAGACACCCTGTGAGGTAGGTGGGGCTGAGAGAGCTCTCCGAAGAACTGCCCTTGAGAGAACAGCTCTGAGAGAACTTGTGACTGACCCAAGGTCACACCAGCAGCTGCAGTCTGATTCTCCCAGATTAGAGTCCATGCTCCTAACCACGACACCAAACCTGGAGCTAGCAACCTTTTTATTTATTTTTATTTATTTAACTTTCAACTTGCTACCCCGCTCGAACCCCCCCAGGGGGTCTCTGAGCGGCTTTACAGTTAACCGTTATCCCTTACCTAAGGCCACATATATGATGGGGTGGGGACTGTCCTAACAGCACCCAGTAGCGGGACGTTATTCAATCTTTTTTTTCTGGAACGGCTCGTCGGCTCGGCTTCTTCTGGCTTCTTCCTCTTTCTGTCCTCTACCTACCTCTTCTTGCGACCCTGGAGAGCCACTGTCTGGATATACAATACTAACCTTGACGAACCAGTTGTCTACTTCAGTATAAGGCAAAGTGTTTGAATATTTTTTTTTTAGAGTCAAACCTAACATAAAAATGAGGGTATCCATTACCTCCTTAAAAATTCCTTACTTGCAATCTCATGCTTTAGACAAACATTAATTTGTATATTTCACCTTGTATCATTGTATATTTCTTTTGCAAATATATAGAAATAAAGTTTTGTATATCCTAAAAAAAGGCAGTAGTATAAGGCAAAGTTATGTGTCACATTCAGTTGAACAAAAAATTTAGGAGCTGGGGATACAAACATTTCTTTAAAAAAGGCGTTTGTTTTATTGAATTTTTTACCCTGCCCTCCCAGCCAAGAGGAGCTGCGGGGGCAGGCTGTGTCGGTAGTTCAGCAGTTCGAGACCCGAGTGTGCCGCATGACGGAGTGAGCTCCCGTCTCTAGTTCCAGCTCCTGCCAACCTAGCAGTTCGAAAGCAAGAAATTGCAAGTAGATAAATAGGTACCACTTTGGTGGGAAGGTAACAGCGTTCCGTGCGCCTTGGTGTTTAGTCATGCCGGCCACATGACCACGGAAACGTCTTCGGACAGCGCTGGGTCTTCAGCTTTGAAACTGAGATGAGCACTGCAACCCTAGAGTTGGATTCGACTGGCTTTCGAGCAAGGGAACCTTTACCTTTACCCAGCCAAGGCCGGCTCAGGGCGGCTTACACAGAATGAGCACATAATTACAATAGAACATAAAATATAAATTAGATTAAAACAACTCTGAATCCCTTTAAAGGGCTAGTAAGCCTTTCCTCCTCCTCCTCCTCCTCCCCGTCTCGAGCCTCTCTCTCAGTAAATCAGCAAACATACTATCTGTAGAACGGTTCTCCTTGAAGAGAGTCAAAGAAATGGATTTTCCCTTGCTGTAACATTGCAGTCTGCTCAAGAGGTTAAAACGCAGAGAACGTGGAGTCCATTTCTTTCCTGCACTCTGTTTTCTGCAGCGTTTTGAACCATCTTTTGCGTGTGCATTTTGTTCAGTTTCAGGTCCAGATCGGGAGCAGGGAAGCTGGTCTCGGAGTCAAGCTGTAAAGATGGTGATCAATGTCTGCCTGCCACAGTTCAAGCCAAGAATCCACTGCAACAAGGTATTTCGACGAGCATAAAAATGGAGGAGCACCATCTAGATGCAACAGTCCCTTGCTGTAAGGGACAAAAGGCACTTTTGGATTCGATCAGCAGGACTTGCATACAATGGGTCCCCTGTAATGCTTGCACTAAGGCCACCTCAGCCATGGGGCGTGGAAGGCAAGAGAAGAGCAGAGGTGGTTTGCCATTGCTTTCCTCTGTATAGCAACCTCAGTCTTCCTTGGTGGTCTCCCATCCGAGTACGGACAGTGGCCAGCCTTGCTTGGCTCTCAAGCTCTGATGAGCTCAGGCTATTTTAATCTTTTGATGCTGGTAGTGGATCTCTGTACCACATATGTTGTCGAAAGCTTTCACGGCCGGAGCTCATTAGTGGTTGTAGATCTTCCAGGCTGTATGGATGTGGTCTTGGCATTGTAGGACCTGGCGTTTCACCAGCAGCTGTGACTGGTATCCTCAGAGGTGTGACACGGAAAGCTGGAGTACTCTCTATGTCAAGGTGAGAAGAAAAATGGTAGGCAGGTAATCTATATCTACTCAGGAAGGTGGGGTAGGGCTGAGTCATTATCTTGTAGGGGTTCCCCAGGCTGTGAAACATGCTAATGGAGTACTCTCTGTGTCAAGGGTGAGAAGAAAAATGGTAGGCAGGTAATCTATATCTACTCAGGAAGGTGGGGTAGGGCTGAGTCATTATCTTGTAGGAGTTCCCCAGGCTGTGAAACATGCTAATGGAGGAGCTTTCCTGAGGAGGTTCTTTTGCATATGGATTGGCTGTTGACATTCTAATCTTACCACAAAGTTTACCCAACCGCTTAGGGCATGCTATTTTGCAAGAGTGACCACCAGGAAGGAAGGAAGCGGTCAGCGGGCACACGGCCATCTCTCCAGGGGAGCCCCAAAGCAACCCTTGGTCCCTGTGGTAACCATGCACTGGGTAGCAGGCGACCTTGAGGCCAGGCCTCCAAACGAGGAAGAGGGGTACTGAGAGTCTCAGTGGGAACCAATGTTCCCTCTAAGCTGTGGAGTCTTGTGAGCAAAAATTCTACTTTGTGAGCTACTGGCATTAAAGCTGTGAGCGAGTGAGTTGGTTGCTGCATAAATCAGTTTGCTCTGGAGCCATCCTTCCTGAGCTAAGACAGAAATGTGTGAGCCGGAGGCTAAAAAACTATGAGCTAGCTCACACTAACTCAGCTTAGAGGGAACATGGGTGGGAACCCCTAAAATGAGCAGGTGGGGGCAGTGATTCTGATTCTGCTTAGCTTCTGTGATCTGACAAGATCGGGCTGGACTGGGCTCTCCAGGTCAGAGCATCTGAATGACTTTGTTACTCCTGTTGTATCCCGGAGTGCTCAAGAAGCCCAGCCCCCTTGGTATAGCCACAGGGCAGTCCACTACCACCACCACCAACTATCTGATGGTAACAACGGGGTGCTGGGACGGCCCAGCATAAAGATCTCGCTACAGTATTCGATGGGGTCGGGGCCGTTGAAGCGGGCTTTTGGGTACATCTAGGTCACCATCTGATTCGACTGATTAAATTGGTAACATCATTGAGCACTTTATTACTGTTAAATACGGTTGATTTTATACTGTTTTTAATGTTTTATTTGGCACACGCTGCCCTTATTTGTAAGCCACCCTGAGCCCGTTCGCGGGGGAGGGCGGGATATAAGTGTAATAATAAATAAATAAATACATTTTAAAAATAGGAGTCATGGCGGGCAATGTTCCCTCTAAGCTGTGGAGTCCTGTGAACAAAAATTCTAGTTGGTGAGCTACAGGCATTAAAGTTGTGAGCGAGCAATTTCGGCTACTGCATAAATCAGTTTGCTCTGGAGCCCCCCTTCCTGAGCTAAGACAAAAATGTGTGAGCCAGAGGCTAAAAAACTGTGAGCTAGCTCACATTAACTCAGCTTAGAGGGGACACTGATGGGGGGACTTCTTAACTGCAGCAGGAACATTTGGGGTGTGATGGAACTAAAGTTGAGTGATGAAGCACAGTTTATGTTCCCGCAGGAGAGCTGTGCGTTGAAATAAAGTCCTTAGCGGTGCCCAGGTCATGCACGAGTTTGCTTATTATAGAAGCTGTGGGCCTCCCTGTTTTGATTACACCATGAGTGGTTTCAAAACCTTTCTCTTTTTATAGATCTCCGCAGATGGTTACGAAGTAGAAAATCTTATCTCAGAAGACCCCGCCAAGAGAAACCGTGGGTTCCGCTGTGAATATTTTATCAAGCCCCCCGTCCAGGTGATGGTTTCTTTCCCCTTCAACATAGAAATCTGTCGGATTAATATAGACATTTCCTCTGGCAGCTGCCAGAACATCACGGGGCTGGACATTTGGACATCTACCTCATCCGGCAAAGCCTCTTGGAACAACCCATTCTCAGGTCTGGCCGGTCCACCCTTGTTGGAGAAAGAGGCTTTCACGTTGGTGGGCAAAGCGGTGCTGAAGAATCAAAGCAAAGTGACTTTCAGCCACCGGGGCTTCAAGCCGAGGCCTCCGTTCCATCATCCGATGGACACTCTCTCTTCCTTCTCCGGCGCCGCATCTCTGGACCTGTGGAACAAAGGCCCCGGCTCTCTGAGTGGCGTCTCGCACTTAAAAATCTGCATTACCCACGTGGCCGGAAGCGGCCTCCCTTGCATTAAGAAAGTGGAGGTCTGGGGCCAGCCGGCTAAATCTTGCCCTCACGAAGTGGTGGGCGACGTGTTCCGGGTCGCCTCGCAGTCCCCGGCGCCGGGCTTCGGCGGGCAGGCCTCCAGCCTCCCGTCCCCGATGGAGAGTGACGTGGTGCCCTTCGGCAACCCGGACAGCCAGGAGCAGAAGCTGATGGAGGCCGTGCAGGACGTCCCCGAAGAGTTCTTGGACCCGATCACCCTGGAGGTGATGACGTTCCCCATGCTCCTGCCCTCGGGCAAAGTCATCGACCAGGAGACCCTGGAGAAGTGCAACCGGAGCGAGGCATCCTGGGGCCGGGTGCCCAGCGACCCGTTCACGGGGGTGGCTTTCAGCCAGCACTCCCAGCCCCTTCCCCACCCCTCTCTGAAAGCCAGGATAGACCACTTCCTCCTCCAGCACAGCATCCCCGGCACTAACTTGCTCGGGAGGGCTCAGGCCTCGGGGACCGTCATCGCCTCTTCCATAGCCCGGTCTTCTCTGAAAAGGAAAATGGACCTTCTGGAGCGGAACCTGGGTCGCCGCGGCAACCTGGACCCCCCCTGTTTTTTGACAACGGACCCGGTGGCCACGTCGACCTCGGAGTCCCGCGCTAAAAAGATGAAAATGGAGTGCGAGGCAAACGCCTCCCAGATGGACTGCTCGACAGGTACCCCGGCAGCTCTGTTCGCTTGACCGGCATCGGGAGTCGCGCCACCGAGCCACAACCAGGATCGCTGGCGCCGTTTTGCTTCGACACGCCGTCTCCTCTCGTTCTAAATTTTCTCTGGGTTGTTGGCTCTCCAGAGCTGCGTGTGGCACTTTGTAGAGCACGTCTCTGTTGGGGGAGGGGGCTTGACTTTGTCATGGTTTGAACGTAACGTTTTGAGCCTTCGTTTTATGGGACCCGCTGCCTCTTGGATCTATTGCCCCTTGGATCTGTCCCTTGCCCCTTGTTCCGCTACATTTATTTTATTTACTTTGTGTCTGTTTCACTGATTTGGGCTTTCAACGATCTATTTAAAACATTCTTAGTAATCGGTGGCTATTTCATCTGGTGTTCATCCTGTGCTTCTGCGTCCGCACGGAATCTGGATTTTGGTTCAGATTCCAGCTTTCCAAAAGCCTCTTCAAAAGCAAGCCGCTCTTATTGTAGAGAAAGAGAGAGACCGTAACCTAGATAGGGTGGGCTGTTTGTCCATTACAGTGGCTTTGGTTTCCTGGCCTCTTTTCTCTGCCCTGTAATGCTGATGTCACCTCTGACTCTTTTCCGCCCCAATCTCTGCCAAAATAATTTTAATTCCGAGCGGAACGAATCATTTCCAATTGATTCGTTATTCAGGTTTGTTTTTAGAGTTGCTCTGACAGAAGAGAAGAAGAAGAGATTGGATTTATACCCCACCCTTCACTTGGAGTCTCAGAGCGGCTTACAAACTCCTTTCCCTTCCCCTCCCCACAACAGACACCCTGTGAGGTAGGCAGGGCTGAGAGAGCTCTTTCCAGAACTGTCCTTGAGAGAACAGCTCTGACAGATCTATGGCTTGCCCAAGGTCATCCAGCAGCTGCAAGTGGAGGAGTGGGGAATCAAACTCGGTTCTCCCAGTTTAGAGTCCGCGCACTTAACCACTACACCAAACTGGCTCTCTCTGAAAGATATACAATGACGATTGTACATCTTTCATAGATATTCACTGCATTCATACTTAGGTACTGCTGTACTTTTGTCAAGATGCGTGTTGTTTGTTGTTTCTCTAAGAGACAGCTTCCCATGTGTATCTGACGAAGTGAGGTTTGGCTCTCAAGAGCCCGTTTGGTGTCGTGGTTAAGTGCGCGGACTCTAATCTGGGAGAACCGGGTTTGATTCCCCACTCCTCCACATGCAGCTGCTGGAGCGACCTTGGGTCAGTCACAAGTTCTCTCAGAGCTGTTCTCTCAAGGGCAGTCCTCAAAAGAGCTCTCTCAGCCCCACTGACCTCACAGGGTTTCTGTTGTGGGTAGAGGAAGGGAAAGGAGTTTGTGAGCCGCTCTGAGACTCCTTCCGGTAGCGAAGGGCGGGGTATAAATCCAATCTCTTCTTCTTCTTCTTCTTCTTCTACCTCACAGGGTGTCTGTTGTGGGGACGGGGAGGGAATGGAGTTTGTGAGCCGCTCTGAGACTCCTTCCGGTAGTGAAGGGCGGGGTATAAATCCAGTCTCTTCTTCTTCTTCTTTTTTTACCTCACAGGGTGTCCGTGGTGGGGAGGGGAAGGGAAAGGAGTTTGTAAGCCACTCTGAGACTCCTTCGGGTAGTGAAGGGCCGGGTATAAATCCAATCTCTCTCTTCTTCATATGCCCCAAAATCGTATTGGTCCCTAAGGTGCTACTGAACTCAAATCCAGCTGCTCTCCCTGTGTGTCTGTCACAGTTTAAACTACCTCGCTTTTGCAGGATTGGTGAACGGAGGCCAGATCTGCCGGTGACTAGATAGACATTCTCTGAACATGGGGGATTCAATCTCAGGTACTGGGGAGAAACTCAAGAGCAAGGGTCCCCAAACATTTTGACCCTGCGGGCACCTTTGAAATTCTGGCAGAGCGTGGGTGGTTGCAGCCACAGAATGGCTGAAGCAAAAGGGCCACTGCAGGAGGTGGAGGCAGCTACGGAATGGTTGTCCCAGCTTCCATTCAGTCACACAATAAAGAACCTTGTGCTGCGGTGGCTGCTGCTGCCAAAGCCGTGGTTTGTAAAATCTGCAGAGCTAATCACGTTTCCAGTAGCCAATCAGAATCATTGCTGGGCCAAAGCCCCACGTGGGATCAAGATCCAAGAACCTAAAGAGATAAGTCAAACAAGAGGGCCTGTTTGGTGTCGTGGTTCAGTGCGTGGACTCCAATCTGGGAGAACCGGGTTTGATTCCCTACTCCTACACTTGCAGCTGCTGGATGACCATGGGCAAGCCGTAGCTCAGACAAGAGCTGTTCTTGAAAAAGAGAAGTTTCTGTCAGAGCTCTCTCAGCCCCACCAACCTCACAGGGTGTCTGTTGTGGGGAGGGGAAGGGAAAGGAGTTTGTAAGCCGCTCTGAGACTCCTTCGGGTAGTGAAGGGTGGGGCATAAATCCAATCTCCTCCTCCTCCTCCTTGAAGGGCAGGGTATAAATCTAATTTCTCCTTCTTAAAACTTAATATATATAATATAAAAATACATGTATTTATTGGCAATTCTTGGCCAATAAATACATGTATTTTTATATATATTAAGTTTTAATTGTTGGCCCTGTACTCTGTCTGACTCACCTCTTTAGGTTCTTGATCCCAGGTTTCAGGGTTAAGTTTGTTCCCCTTTTTTATCCCTAACAAAATCCCCACTGGGTCATGCCCATTTTCTAAAAAACACTTGGCAGATGTCAGAAAAGTGGTGGCGGCTACAAGCATGGACGGCTTCAAAAGGGAATTCGATAGGCATATGGTCCATCAGTGGCTATTAGCCACAAGGTATAGACAGGGGCTCTGGGGAAAGGGATGCTCTGTCTTCTTGGTGCTGGGGGGGGGGCAACAGTGGGAGGGCTTCTAATGTCCTGGCCCCACTGGTGGACCTCCTGATGGCACCTGGTATTTTTGGCCACTGTGTGACAGAGTGTTGGACTAGATGGGCCTTTGGCCTGATCCAACATTGGCGTCTCTTATGTTCTTATGTTGGTGGGGGCACCACGGCACCCACGGGACCACATTGGGAACCCCTGCTGAAAAGGATGCCATCATCATCTTGCCTGTCTTGGGAAATGGCCAGTTATTAGAAATGGGCAGTGGTATTAGAAGGATCCTGAGTCTGACAGAGCAAAACTGTCTGAACCAATCGCAGCTAAACTTAGAAAAATTCATCAGGGAAGAAGGAAGATAGGTGTCGACTTTCTAAAATGGCGTGACGGCGTGTCAGTATGTGGAAGGCTGCCCTCTCGGTTGTTTGCCTGTTTGATTTAGCTGGAATGTCTCTTTTTAGGTCATGTGCTTTTCTTTGCAGATCCAGTCTCCCACGAGCAGAGGCTTTCGGCGAGCCTGGACAGCGCCTTGAGCTCCATGCCGTTGTTCACAGCTAGCCTGACGAAAAGCCAGCTAGCTCCGTGTAGCGGAAACAGCGGCCCATTGAACCCGAGCAGCGGATACGGTAAGGCTGGGCACCCTGCAAACCCTTGGGACCCGTTGGTGGTCTGTGTGACAGTTGTTGCTTCTTTCTTCCAAAAGAATCCGGGAGCCCCAAATCGTGGGCCTCTTGCTATGATGAGGGAGAGAAGCTCCCCATCTGTCATAGAATCATAGAATGTTAGAGTTGGAAGGGACCTTGCAGGTCATCTAGTCCAACCCCCTGCACTCTGCAGAAGCATAGCTGAAGGAGAGCCCTACAGCGTACCCGAAAGACGGTCATCCAGCAGCCTCCGCTTGAAAACGTCCAGTGAAGGAGCACCCACCACCTCCCGAGGCAGTCTGTTCCACTGCTGCACC